CGATGATGTGTAGGTTTAAATCGTAAGGCCGTGTGGGACTCAATTCGACCACTCCATTACTCAGCACTCTTGTTTATTAGGAACGGTTGTTTGGTAATGTCATGACAAAAATAAAAAATAAAAAGTTTATTAAAACTTGACGATTCAGACAGTTGACTTTGCCCCCATGCTGGATACTGTTGATCTTATTGAAGCAAGAGAGAAATCGCACAAAATATATATGTTGCGCAGTGTCCGATACAGCATCTCCAGTCCTTAAAAGCAGGGACCATCGATTCATCCCGACTCCTCGTTGGAAAGTGACTTACGTAACGTTTTTTTGCATTTTCGAGAGACAAATTACGCAATGTCAACAAGAAGTGCATAACATCTATTCATTGCGCTGGTGCCTCTTCAAAATGATAAATGAGTTTTGAATGTCTCATTGGCAAATAATGTATTGCAAAGGCATTGATTCATTTTTTGAAGTCAGAGATTCTTTAAGGGAAATCAAGTTTCGTCTTGCCGTTCGTCGATGTTACATCAGTCGTATATGTCTTTGAAATCGGCAAAATACACCAAGTTGGGCCCGAAAACACCAATAAATCACACTTTTGAACTGCAAAACTAAGGCAATACTAACATTATGCCCCTAATAGTGTATAAAATATTTCGCGGTGAAAAAGTCAATATTTTCCAAAAATTACAGATCGGCATTCTGACTTAACGATTTCTCGTAAGTACTTACTCGGTATAAAAATCGGTTTTTCGTATCAATGCTACAAGAAATACTAGTTCATCATCGGGATTCATACTGAAAACATGAGTATTTAATACTACGACGGAAACGCTAACACGTCGCACAAGCATATTCGACGCAGATCAGCGAAATTTCGTCAGAATCGAGAGTAAATCGTCCAGCCGCGTGTGCGTGTAAAAGCGTGGAGGGGAGATGAATCTGGGGGGAAAAAATGAGAAAGCTCTCACTCTCGCCGGTCCGAGCAAGCTGTAGCGAGTAAGAGGTACGAGGTGTATTACGCAGGAGAGGAGAGAAGAAAGTGACGAGAGCAGAGTGGTCCGGTTCTTCCTCTACAGTGGACCTTTCCTTTTCCAAAAAAACGCGCTGCCTGCAACCTCGAATTGAAAACATTTGCGCACACCTTTTTTTGACGATCGGACGGTGATTTATTCTTTTTTTTTTCTCATCTCGTGGCCAGAGTGAGCAAGAGATTTACTTGTTTGGTGGCTATTGATTTTTTAGATTGAGTAGAAAAGATCCTTCTCCTGAATTCTTTTTTGCCAAAAGATCAAGATTAATCGCGACCACAGGTTTATTTAATAAAAAAAAGGATTATGTGATTAGAGAGTAAAAACTGTTCAGGAATATCAGCTCAAATCTGCACAAATTTTACTCTCCGAGTGTGGTTTAACATAGTTACGTTGATTCAATTCTTTTCAAAATTCAATTACATAAGACTTCACAATTTTTTACTTTTTATGATAATGAATGTGAAAGACACGAAAAATTCAAAAACGGGAAAATGGTCCCAACTTTTATACAAGACAATTATAATCTAAGTAGTGCAACAAGATAGAGTTACAGTGATGGGAATTACATACTTTTGCAAGTCGAATAGGGGATGTAAGGCTTTATCTTATAAACTATTATGAATAGCTAAAGGATGGAGAGTCCCAGAAGATTGGAGTACCTATTTGTTAAATTCCTTTTATTAAAGGATAGAAATATAATTTTGATGATACTTATTGTTCTTCGGAGACTGTTATACACGATGTTGCGGAGTAAAATTCATGACATGTCTTGTTTTTTCCCGAAAAAGTTCCAAAATTTCACCATTGGTATATAACTACAAACTATTCATTGCAATTTTCATTGATCAATCGTGTACAAGCTTAGGTTGAAACCGACTGAATTTTCTAACCTATTAAACTAAGAATAAATTAGAAATTGAGAATTGATTAAGGTTCAAAGGATTATCTGCATGCCTTTCATCGATGTATAGTCACAGAGCATGAAAACATAATTTCGAACTCCTTCAAAATCATAATGAAATGATCTTGTAATTGTAAGAAGGGCTTACGTTCCACTTGCGTAACCTTTTGACTGCACTTTCTCGCCGGCGATTTTCGTAAAATCCTCAGCACAAGAACCGGTTTGATCGTTCTTTGCGTACTTTCTTAAATCGATTAACGTACAACTTCTTAAAAACCAACATTATAATAAACATTCTTTCAACACAGCGTATTCATCACTATGACTTAACTCGTATTCTTATTTATGGCTTTTCAAAAAGATTGTAATTCATCTCAAAAAATACCTCAGAAAGTTTAGTTTTATTCCTGAGCCATTCGAACCTAAGCCATAATCAAATGATTAAGATTACGGCGATTCACGACGTAATCGACGAAACATAAAGATCAATGAATTGTTAGCAGTAAGCTTATTATATATAATTAAATCGAGAAATGAAGGTTAACGATAGCATCTCCATTCGTTTTCATAAATAAGATGAAATTTACAGTGTGACGAAATGTACGAAAAAGAAATTTCCTATAATTGCTGCTATGAGTACCAGTGATCAGTCTCAAGTAGTTGTCGGGAACAGTTGATGGTTTTTTTATTCACACTGTTGTTGTAGTTTGAATTATATGTTTTGTCCCTAAAGTATTATACAATTGAAGTTTCAGAATAAAGTCACACCAATTTCAAAATATTTGTGTAAAAAAACTTGATATCTCGATAGGAAAAGTATATTAGGTAAAGCCTCCGGTGTGCATGTAATGTAACAGACTAATGAAAGAGGACTCGGTGACAATCAAAGGAATATAATAATAATCGCAACAAGTATAAGAAAAAAAAATGTATCCATCGCTTGGCAGTTGACTTGAAACGTTTTGCTAAACCACCTTTAAGCACTTTAATTGACCTAAAACAAAAACGAGGAAGCTTAAAATACCTGTTAGAATGTCGATGGACAAAGAAAATATACGGATTTCGAGTAGTGATTTATCGGGGAGTACAGCTCTTAATTGACTCGACAATCTCGCAGTGGAATCACAGCAAGTGTCAAACCGTAGGGGATAAAAGAGGCGCAGGCAAATTATAGTTGTATGCGTCGGCGCCAACGTTAGGTACGCGCCATTTGTTAAGCTGAAATTACACACCTCTCTTACTCAATAATGGTTTGCTAATAATAATACCGGGTGACGTTAAATGTTTGGAATTTAGGTAAAACAAAAAAAAAAGATTTAATGAAACGCATTGTTATTGTTTTTCCTATTCATAGCAGTAATAAAATTTATTCCCAACCAAGGATTGACTTTTATTGCTCAATTCGAATGAATTGTAAGGGAACCAATGGAATTTCAGAAACGCCATTATAAAAACATTTGAATAATCTATGCGGTACATCGGAAAGGAAAAAAATTTTGAAATCTAAATATAATGCACAAGCGGTGTATTTAAATAATTGTGAGATCACGCAATGTACGTAATTATGATATTTTGAGAAATAAAACTTTGTGATAACGACTTGTGATCATAAATGCAAAATAACACACGACTACAAATATCTACCTTATCTTATCTTCAGACATCGAATGTAAACATAGAGACAGTTTGTTGTGTAAAAAATACATTTTCTAATTTATTGCTTTACTTATTCAATCATTCACTTATTTACATAGAAAATTGCTGTGAGTTTTTAACCTAATTATTAAGACTAAAAATTTTGGCAAGGCTGGAATCAACTACTGCTATATTTCAAGTCAATCTTTTTATCATTGAACCCTCCACAACTGACTATAAATTACGTAATGCAAAATTTGCCATTTTTCAATCCTGTTTAACGTTAGTTAAATGTGTGCATTATAAATTAAAACCTTGAGCTAAAGCTAAAAAGAAAGATTTTATAGTTTTAAAGTAAAGATGATAGATAAATATTTTAGAGATGTCTTATTGTCTACTAATGGACTTTACTTCCTTATTTTTAATGGCCAGATTAAATGAAAAAGAACCACCGTAACACTTTTCATCAGCTTTTAAAGTTATTTATGTCACTTGCTTGACTATCCTCAAAAATGAGGATTTTATGTGCAAGAGTTGATTTAGGCAACTACTACACGTAATATTCTTGTGGAATTATTCTGCCACAAGCATTGTAGGTTTTGTCACGCAACTGATTGTTATTGTTATTAATGGGTAGAGGAAGCTAAGTTGCAAGACGTTACGGTGAATGAAACATGGTCGAGCTCACCTGAAATCGTACTTCGAAGCTGGAATAAAGCAAATTTATCTTTTCGTTATCTGTAAACTGGTCAACTAAGGACTCACAAGCTATTTGGATTGGGTTACTTCGAATTTCCTTGTTTAAAACGAGATTAATGTAGCTTACAATCCGGATTTGAAAGTAACGCGTGTTATTATTTGGATCTGCAGTGTTGTGCGCCCTAGTTTTTTGGTGGAAGAGGTGGAATTGAGAGCTGCAACCTTTTCCTAGTAAATAGCGTCGAATTTCGAGATGAAAATATTGATATTAAGGCATTCGTTTATTTACTATTTTTAACAATTTTAAGATCCTTAAATAACACCAATCATAACTCTCATATTCTTTTTCGTAACAATACCGCAACCATAGGCTGAATCGTTCTCTTTTCTTGATTTGTTGAGGACAGTCTCTTGTTGACATCTTGTTTTCAATTTACGATAGCATATAAAACACATAAAATGGGCTTAATTTTGAGTAAGTGTTAACCAAAAATTCACAAACCTTTTTATATTTACTAGATCACAGTTTATTCAAGCTGCTGTCATCTCCATAGGACCTCCAGTAATCGCTAATACAATGTACCATTGCTCTTCAAAAAATGCGTATACAAAATAATTGACAAGAAAATCTCTCTTTGAACTCTTTAATGACTGAAAACTAACGATTTCAAGCCCCATATCGATTTTGTATACTTTAAAACTATACAGATCCGAAATTATTTGATTTTTGTTCCAGGTGTTGAGAAACCTTTTTCTTCATTGAGCAACCACGCTCTGCCATCCAGTGCTGAAGTGGTAACCCAGTTCCGCTCTAACCACCGCAACAGCGCAGCCCCTCACGAAGGTCTGAGCAGCCTGACTGGTGTCTGGTCCGAGCTTTTGCTGCGCGACATTTCTGATCCGGTACGTCCCAAGCACAATGAGAACTGTTGCCAGCCGAACTTTAGTCATCCAGAATGCATGCCTGGCTTGGACGTGAGTGGAAACTGCTTGAACTATTGGCGCGCGGTGCCGACTCTGAGCACCCACTCGTGCAACTTCAAAACTCGCGAGCAAATGAACGGGGCTTCTGGATACTTGGACGGCTCGGACATTTACGGAAACAATGACAATAGGCTACACAAGCTCAGGACTTATCACGGAGGACGCGTCAATTTGGCCACTTGCGAGCTCTGCAACAAGCCCAACTCCAGCATCGGACTCATCTACCAAACTCTGCTGACCGAGCACAATCGGATAGCCGATAAGCTGGCCGAAATTAATGGACACTGGGACGATACCAGACTGTACTTGGAAGCCAGACGTGCCGTCGTCGCTCAAGTAATTCACACCCTTTCAATCGAAATTAAAATTATTCGATGGTTCAATCTGTTTAAACATTATCCATTGACTTTTAGCTCCAACACGTGACGCTGAACGAGTATGCTCCCAGCATCCTTGGCGAGGCCGTCTTCGCTGATCAGGAGCTGATGCCACAGACTAGCGGTTTCTACAAGGGCTACTCATCGACCAACCGTGGTGGTGCTATCGATGCCGTATCCCTAGCTGCACTCCAGGCTCTTACTTCGATCAAAAGCTTTGAGAGTTCGGCTCTCGAGCAGCAGGTCATTCTTGCGGCCAAACGCGTCAGCCTTGACGTAGCTGAGCAGGAACCGTCCACCGAATGGGATCTTAGTTCTCTGCTAATCCACGCTGGTAGGGACCACGGTCTGCCCAGCTACATAAAATTCGTGGAATACTGCTCGAATGGACGTGTCAAGGTAATTAAGTTTACAATTTGACTCTATTAACTGCTTCATTACTTGATGTGTACATTAGTATGGATAAAAATGAAAAATAATTTTCCTTAGTTTGAGAACTTCACAAGCTTGACGAGTATCATGGAACCAAAAGATGTTGAGCTACTCGAAAATATCTACTCTCGCGTTGAATACATCGATCTGCTCCTTGGGGGGATCCTTGAGATTCCGAACGAAGGAGCAGCTGTGGGTCCCACGTTCGGTTGTCTCTTGCGCGAACAATTTATCAAGCTACGCAACTCGGACCGTTTCTGGTACGAAAATGATATCCCACCGTCCAGCTTGAAACTCGAACAGATAACGGAAATCCGTAAAGTGTCGTTGGCTGGTATTCTATGCATAAATTCTCAAATTGCTAAGATCCAGCCCAAGTCCTTCATCCAACAGGATCCATACTTGAATGCTAAAATCACTTGCGAGCAGCACGGATTATTGGACCTGTCAGCTTGGAAAGAAGAATTCGCAGAAGCTGCTGTGGTGGACAACCACATGACCACAACTCCTGCTTCCGAAGCCGCTAGGACACTTGTTGCTGAAATCGACGAAGACATGATTGCCCATGCCGTCAAGAAAGCCGAACAAAATTTCATGGAAAGGAAACAACTCGAGTACAAATCTTGGGTGGAGAAAAAAATCGCCAATCCAAAATCACCCGCTGGCACGGCCGCTAGCTTCTCCAAGGCCAATAAAGATGCACTTCTGATTGCTAATACTTCGATCCTCTATGAGCTCACTACAAATGAGTTGATTAACGGCATCGACGGACTGAGAAGAAGAAGGAGGAAGAGACAATCTTTCGACGTTGGCGACAACGTTCTTGGCTTTCCCAATAACGAGTTCAACGATATCTTACAAAATGTTGATGTTTCTGGCTTTTTCCCTCACAAAGTGCCGACCAATCATGAAGAAGTTGATTGTCCCTTCGAAGACGGTCCATGTGACCCTACGACTCCTTATCGTACGTTCACTGGACATTGTAATAATTTACGCAATCCAACTCTCGCACAATCTTTAACGACTTTCTCTAGACTACTTCCACCACATTACGAAGATGGTGTTTCCAAACCAAAAGTAACGGGTGTAACAGGTAAAACAATAGAATTCTTAGTACAATATAACAGTATACTTTAGTTTTGGAATTAACAATAATTTGAAAATTTTCCTTAATTACAGGCGCATTCCTTCCAAATCCCAGGACAATTTCTACAAATATTCATCCAGACATTTCAAACTTGCATAACCGTTACACCCTGATGGTAATGCAGTACGCCCAATTTTTGGATCACGATATGACCATGACACCCATTCAGAAGGGTTTCGGCGAATCCATTCCTAGCTGCAGATCTTGCGATTCAGCTCGCACCGTCCATCCAGAATGCAATCCATTTGTTGTTCCACCCGGTGATCATTACTATCCAACGCTCAACGTTAGTTCCGGAGAGCGCCTTTGCATTCCATCCATGAGATCACTCCCTGGTCAGCAACACCTCGGGCCACGCGAGCAGATTAACCAGAACACCGGTTTACTCGATGGCTCCGTGGTGTATGGCGAGAACGCTTGCATCGCCAAGGTTCTTCGAGGCTTCAACGGGTTGATGAATATCACCAGGCATCCAAATAATGGAAAAGACTTATTACCCCAATCGCGTACTTTTCCCGAATGCAAAGCACCGTCAGGATATTGCTTCATCGGTGGTGACGCTCGAGCTTCCGAACAACCGGGTCTTACGGCCATGCACACAATGTGGGTTAGAGAGCACAACAGGGCTATGGACTTACTAAGGAAAGCCAACAGTCATTGGGACGCAGAGAAATTGTTCCAGGTAAGATTACCGAAAACAACATTTGGCTAATAGTTTTGTTATCAATGCGCTGTCTAGAGTGGTTCTTTGAACAACGATCTTTCATAGGAAACTCGACGAATCGTTAGCGCCATGTTGCAACACATAACTTACAACGAGTTCCTGCCACGAATCCTCGGATGGAATGCCGTCAATCTGTACGGCTTGAAGCTACTGCCTCAAGGCTACTACAAAGAGTACTTGCCAACCTGCAACCCAAGCATATTAAACGAGTTTGCGACCGCCGCGTTTCGTATAGGACACTCGCTGCTGAGACCCCACATCCCAAGAATGGACCGCAGCTACCGAAACATTGATCCACCAATTTTGTTGCGGGACGGTTTCTTCAACCCCGACATGCTCTACCAACCCGAGATGATTGACGAGATCATCCGTGGTCTTGTGGCTACACCCATGGAAACCCTCGATCAGTTTATCACTGGCGAAGTGACGAACCATCTGTTCGAGCAAAAGGGAATCCCACACTCGGGCTTCGACTTGATAGCCCTCAACATCCAAAGATCCAGGGATCACGGTCTACCTCCCTACAATCAGTACAGAGCCCTTTGCAATTTGAAGAAGGCCACGAATTTCGATGATCTGTCGAGAGAAATGGCTCCCGAGGTGATAGCCAGATTGAAGAGGGTGTACGCCTCCGTTGATGACATCGATCTTTTCCCAGGTCAGTTACTTTCATTTCTCAACAATAATTTACAGTTTTCGTACAAGATCTTTATAACCCTCCAAAAGGTAACAATGGTGAAATCAGTCGTAAATTACATCGTTGATCCTGCGTTGATCCAATGTTTAATCAGCGTTGAATCAGCATTGATTTAAGTCGATATAAGTAGTCACCTGCAGAACAATGCTCTTTTCAAGTTAGCATTGCAGTTGCGATTCAAATGAATTCTTTTTAAACTTGTAACTTCAATACACTTTTAAGTTAAACATAAATCAACGTAGATTCAACGCTAAATCAGCATTGATTCAACATGGAATCATAGTTATAATCTAATCAACGATGTAATTAACTACCAATTTCAGCGTTAATTTAGCACTGATATTTTTTATTCGTTGTGTGCAAGTTCAGTGCTGCCCCCATTTTGCCGAAAATTTCATGTTTAGTTAAGTGAGAGAAAATTAGTTGACGCGGCCACCACTGGCAGATTTGCCAGACAATTCCATAAGACCACGTATAAAAGTGACTAAGTGGCACCAGTCCTCCCCTCCATCAACTAGCACACACAGTGAATAGGGAAGTAAACCTTTAGTTGGGCTTTGACACTTTTGTGAATGTGTGACAGGTGGTATGAGCGAGAGGCCGCTGCAAGGTGGCTTGGTTGGGCCGACGTTCGCTTGCATCATTGCCATCCAGTTCCGGCAGGCGCGTAAATGCGATCGCTTCTGGTACGAGACCGACGACCCGAACATTCGTTTCACCGAGCCCCAACTGGCCGAGATCCGCAAGACCACCCTGTCCAAGGTCATGTGCGACAACATGGACGCGCACGCCATCACGGAAATGCAACGGGCGGCTTTCGACCTGCCGTCCAACTTCTTGAACCCAAGGGTGCCGTGCAACTCAATGCCAACCATGAACTTCGACGCTTGGAAGGAGACGAGGCAGGGCTGTCAGATTGGCGGCAGGAACGTTGCCATCGGCGAGTCTGGCTTCCCCACGCCTTGCACCAGTTGCGTCTGCACGAATGAGGGTGTAAGTGTTATTTCTAGCTTTTATTACGTATCGACGGCTCGGAGAACAAGAGATTCAGAAAGTGTTGGAAAAAAGTAACCATCTCTAACTCGCTGTAGGGAGACAATGGCTACTTCATGAAAAAAGGCAATTTTTCTAACCTCTGCTATTTGATTCTTATATTTAAATTGAAAACATTCGCTTTATTTATTAATGACAAGGAAATACTTTTTTTTATTGATTGATAAGTGCTTCTTCTATCCGAAAAACTTTGGATAAAAGTTGAAAGTTATTAGTGTCCCTTTTGTGATAATTTTTTCTAAAGCAATAGAGTTTCTTAGAGCTACTTTTGGTTAAAACTTAGATTGACATCACATTTTTTCGTTACAGTCAAACAAACATTAAATTTTTTGAACTCATTCCACACAACATGAGGTTCGTTTTTTACATTGACACACAAATTATCGTCTCCTTAGATCGGCACATTGTCTGAATGACGAAACTGTACTTTGGCCGATCGTCGACTGTAATTACTTATAGCTGAGGTCTTTATTTGGATGAGCACAGTTTCGGTGTTTGAACAGTGAAGCATCGAGTTGAAATTTTGACTATGCACCAGCAGATTTTGTAGAAAGTTATCTACCAAATAATCTTTAAAAATTTATCAATTTTTGTGACAATTTTTTTACAAAAACCGGCATATTTCAAAAGGATACAACGGACAAAGATAAAAAGGAGTTTTTGTTAGCTATAAGTTATGATTTTTCGATCCCCTGTAGAGTTGCTCTAAAAAGAATTCTTCGAATAGTAACTATACCTATAATCGATCAAGTCACCGGCTTAGGGCAAAAATAAGAAAATTGAAATTAATGAAAGAAATGCTGATGTTAATAACTTGGTGATCCTATGGTGCAAAAAAAAAAATTAAAAAGGGCACATTGATTTAACGTATTATCCAAAGGGAAAACTTTTAAGTGGGACACGAAACCGGAACATCAATATCTATTTATGATCTATTTTTTGTTGCAACTTTAGCAGACAATCATCTTTATGATAAAAAAATAAAAAGTTTTTATCACTAAATTTCTATGAATGGCCATTCAATTTACCTTGGGGATTTTGGGATAGAATTCCTTGGTTTTAATTACTTAGGTAATGGAAAATGAAGTAAGGGCTTATAATGGAATAGAATTAACGTTTCGACCTCGAAAATTTTGACTAACGTGAAAAAAAGTAGAGTAGTAGTTTCAATGCATGATAACAAATTGACACATAATTTAATAAGTAAAAATGTCAGCAAAGGTCCAAAAAATGGTAAAGATAGCAAATAAAGGTTTTTCGCGTCCAGAAGAAAACCGAAAATCACACATGACAAAGTGTTGGGTAAAAAAAATGTGTACTTTGAATACGAACGAAATGAGTCACTTTGAATTCAAATCGGGTAAACCATTTTTTCGCTGATTGCAAAAAACTACTATTTTAAGCCATTTTTCTCGAAATTTAATAATAATTATCTATACAATATTAAGAGCTGATATTTCAATACAAGGTAGATATTAATATATAGTCCTCAATATGCACACAAAAGTATCTTTTTTATTTTGAAATTTCCGATGCCTGTTTTCGTTTTGCTGCGGTTCGCGAAAAACTTAAGACCGATCAAGCTGAAACTTTGTGTGTATGTTAAGGACTATAATATCTACTTTGTGTTAAAATTTCAGATCCTAATATCGTACAGATCGTGAGTTATTGAATTTCGAAAAAAATGGCTCAAAATGGCAGTTTTTGCGATTTGCAAAAAACGACTGAACCGATATGCACCCAACGTGGCTCATTTTGTTTGTATCAACATTAAACATCTTTTTTGCCCAACACTTTTTTATGTACGATTTTTCGGTTTGTTTCTAGGAGTAAAAAACATGTTTTGGCCATTTTTGCCATTTTTCTAGGGCTTTTGCTGACATTCCTATTTGTTAAATTCTGTCTCAATTTGTTACCATGCATTGAAACTACTACCCTACTTTTTTTCGTGTTAGTCAGCATTTTCGAGGTCGAAAAGCTAATTCGATCCCAACCATTACTAGTTTGGGTTTGGATAAACACGCTCCACATAGAGGTGGTAGAGGGTGGCCGTAAAAATCGCTCAAGTGGACAGGAAAAATAAAATATTAATGGTCCAAAGTTTTCTCCAACCATCCAAATGGTATAATAATCCAGTCTTTAATTCATTTTTAGACTTTCAAGAAGAAAAAAACCAATATTGCACAATGACGCTGATGCTTTTTCCTAGCACATGTGTCCACGCATATTACTTATCTCTCTCTTGTTATTCGAGTGTAATAAGTAAAACACAATACGATTACGTATAAGTATTTCAAGATTGCAAAGACATAACAGTTCTTGATCGATTGCTCGTTTTCCAGACCCACTGCGCATCGTTGCGAGTGACCGACTGCCACCAGCTACTGCGCGAGGCGTCGCGCGAGGCCATCCTCCGGGACGACGTGTGCACCGCCCAGTGCGGCTTCGTCCTGGCGGCGACCGAGCCCGCGGTCACGAGTCTGCCCTTCAAAACTGCCCACACTTTCCCCGGCTTCTCCCACACGCGTGGCAACCACCTCCGCACGTTCGCGTCGTCGCTCAACGTCGGCTTCAAACTGCCCGACCTCTCGCAGTTCATCGGCTGAAACAACACGCAGCAGCCCGAGTACTCGATATTACGATTGTACGATACGTGCCAATGAAAACATCGCTGTTACCGAGACTTTTTCTTTTCAGGCAGTGATTTTTCAGCAGTTGATAGGTATAGTACTGGCGACAGCAGCCAGGCGTGTTTGTGCGCCGAGAATCGGCGCAGAGAGAGTTTATAATTTATGTACATATCGATTGTAAGACAATATTTTTATAAGTGAAGTTTTTAATACTTTTTTGTTTACATCATTTTGTGACCGCTAAGGACGATTGAAAAGAACATGCTTTGAATAAATTTTTTTTTCACTTTTGTATGATTATTAATTTTGGTTTTGTAAAAAATAAAAAAATATGAAAACTCTTGGTTTTAAGTGTAACGATTAACGTGGTTGAAGTTATGATGAATAAGTCTTTTTTGTCTTGTGATTACTGAATGCGTTTATATACATGTTTTGAGATTATAAAAAGAGCAATGCCATTAGAACTACATAGTACGTGGATACTTAGAATTATTGAATTATTGGCAACTTGGCTTAAAAAACAGTTATAAATCAAATGGAGGATGCTGCTGCCATTGACAGTAATGAAATATTTTTAGAAATCTTAAAAAACAAAAAAACTTGTGTGTTGTACTTAAGTTTTTAGAATTTTTATTCATATTTTTGGTAATTTACAAGTTTTATACATTTTTTTTGTATGATACAATTGTATTTTATGGCATGTTTGATGTTAATAAATGTTAATGTTTCTTATTAATTTCCTTTCAACCGATGCACGCAACAATATGCCCATGTCACAGTCCCCACTCTCATGACACGATCAATTCTCAAATTAATAATCGGTTAAAGTCAAATGAAACATGTGTTTATGAAATGAAAATATGATTTTATTTTATTTACCTACGAGTACTTGATACACACAGGCGAAAGAACTATTAGTATAATTCACATTCGTATATCTGTATGTACAGGTACTATTAATTTTATTTGACAGATGTTTGATGTATACATGTAAATAAACTTTGTGACTTACGTAAAAGTTTGGAACTGTCATATATTGTGACCGCGTCACGATGATCATGTAAGTTTTCCCATGATTATGTATTTTTTTTTTTTTTTTACAAAAATTTTGTCTTACAAATTTTAGAATGAGATGTTCTAATTTTTTCTTGTCATTTGACGTGCAGCGATATACGATATTTAGTTTGCAGTCACCTCTTGCTTGTTGTTTACAATGGCTGCATTTTCTGGAACGACTGGTGCAACTTGTGCAGCTGGTTGATCAATGAACCGCCAAAGTCCGTAAGTTTTACCTACTGTTGTTTGCCACAATCTCAAAGTTCCGTCTTCTGAACCACTGGCATAAAGTTCACCATCTGGAGAAAAGCGTACACAGTGGACAGGGCCAAAGTGTCCTTTGAAAGATTCTATAAAAAAGAACAAATTAATTTTTATTTGCAATGATGACAAGATCAATTGAGTGCCTGTAATTACAATCTTTAATCAACATACCAATTTCTACACCAGTGGTGTAATCAAATTTGTAAACCTTCAAATCTTCTCCACCACAAACAAATATGCTATTATCTGGATGTAAACTTGCACTATAAACCGATGTAGGAACAGTGAACTCACGCAGCTTAGACAATCTGGAATGAAAGAAAACTCAATGGTAAATTCTGAGAATATGTACAATTTATAGCAACAAAAAACTTGAAATGAGATATAACTAAAAAAACTTACTCTTTACTGTCCCAGAAAGTGACAAGATTCGAGTGCGTCGTCGTAATGACTTTCCCATCTTTAGAGACCTCCATGGAGCACGGGACAGATGGGAATTCTAGTTTCTTTATTTCTTGACCACTGCTCCTTTCCCAGACTCTTAGAGTCTTATCATCTGCACATGTAGCTAGTAGCGTATCATTTTCAAAGAACGTCACATGCCTTATTCCATTTGTGTGGCCAGTAAACACCTTGTACAAAATTTTTTTTTATTTCGTCTGACAATAAGTTTGTTTCATCCAAAAATAAGTATCTTTAAACACTATAACTTACTTGTGGCTCAGCTTCGGGCTTGTTGAGATCAAAAATTCTAACAAGCTTTTCGTTTGAGGCAGTGCATAAATATACTGAGTCTTTGCTGAAGTCAACGGACTTGACAATGTGCTTGTGTTGAAAAGAATGTACCTCCTCACCTTTGATTGCATCCCAGACTTTGGCATTAAAGTCAGCAGCGCCAGTAGCTGCTTTAGTAGCTTCTCGATTAAGTGCTACTCCCCACACAGCCCCTTTGTGTCCCTCAAATGTACCTATCCAATCACCCGTATCACCTTGCCTGAGCATAGGTTTGCCATCTGTGTAGGGATGTAACGTGTATGCATTAGGCTTCTTGTTAAAATAATGATAAACAGTGTATGGAAAAACGTAATGGCATCTTTTTAAATTATTGTTGAGATAAGAAACTTCAATATTGGCTACAAAGTTTTAATGAGCATAGTTATGCAGATGCTCTTTACAGTCAAGCCTCATTGTTTCCCTAAAATATATCTATTTAGTTTCTTTATATCACCTTGCTTGAGCATAGATTGCAATCTTTGCACAGACAAAATGTAGGGAAGCAATTTTTGGTTAGAGCACACAATAAAAACAAGTCTAAAAAAACTCAACTATATCCCATTGAGTCTATTGAAAAAAAGTTTTTTTAATGATTCTTAGCTGTGGCAACCAAATAATACATTTGCATTCAAAAATGTATGTTATTTGATGTACTTAGTTGGATAAGTGTTGCAACTGAGTTATAGGTTTGACAAATTACTGTTTAATTATTTTTTTTTATGCTTACTTTTAAAATTATCAGGATAATTGTATACTATTTAAAAACAACGAAGTTAGAAGTAACAAGTGTGGTGTTATAAAAATAGCTTTAGAGTAACACTGTTCATTAGATAACTGTCCTGTGATAATTCATTTAAGCATCCAACTATCGTAAACAAAACTAAATATCTACAATAATCAAATCTAATTAAATTTAAAGATCGCCCATGGAGCATAAAAAATTTTGTTTACAATTTTAACAAATATGACATAACCTTAAAAATCTGAAATGACATAAATGTCGAATGCTTTAACACATAACTATGATAAAATATTTTTTTAATAACCTTTGCAGGCAGAGATGAGATAGTATCCAGAATCCGTGACGTCAGAGAAATGAAGATGCACTACAGGCCGCGTGTGGCCGCTACAGGTTAAAGGAGTTTGTCGCAAATTTGCCATACTTTTGTTTGTTAACGAGCGTCACAGTCGTCACAGTTGATCACCAACTTAAACAAGGACTGATGTATCGATGTAAGCACATAAATTGTATGAATTATACGTCACTTTATATAAAACTACAATTTCAAACCAAACGTGTAAAAGTACTAAGTACACTTTTTACAATAACACGACTCACGACACTGCAGAGATGACAGTTCGTGCAACCAAAAAGCCAGAGCCTTCACGGGAGCACAACGGAAATAACACAACAGTCCAGAGGTGCCCGATCGGAAATCTTACCTTGGCTGTAACGGGGGCCTGGCTAGTAGTGCATTATGCCTAGCTAGGCCCCCGTTACAGCCACGGTACGAAATCCGATCGGGTGAGTTTGGCTAACAGCGCTCGGAGCAGTCGTGAAACTCGTGAATTACATCGTTGATTCTGCATTGATTCAATGTTGAATCTACATTGATTCAGCGTTGATTTATAATGCTTTTTTTCATGTAAGGATTGCAGTGCGATTCAAAAAAAATTTGTTTTAATTTGTAACTTCAATACCTACTTTCAAATTTGAAATAAATCAACGTTGATTCCACGCCAAATCAGCCAACAAATCTGCACAGCAAAGCCTACATATAGAGATAGGGTATAAGTAGGGGCTATTCTACCGCTAGGGGCGCTTACCATCACATTAGGTCTTATTTTCGGGATATTGGGCGTCCTATACCAACCTGAATAGAAATACACATTCCGGCAGGTAGCAGGACTAGCTCCGGTGCCTTAAACTTGGTCTCCGGACATCTTCCGGTAGTCTTTCCGGGCCGGGCAGTATACAAACTGTTACCAGGTGCGTTTCCGGGTAGGTTCAGGCTTCCTTAGGTTCCGGTTACCAGGAATGGACCGTGGAGTGCCCGTAAGGTACCAAGTACAAATTAAACAAATAATAAATTCAATAAACGTCAGTGACATAAAAATAGCGTAGCTAATAAAAATAAACCTATGCAAAAACAATGTAAGGTAAATAATAAAATTTTATTTCCTAATATGATAAATTAAAAATTATCATCATGTTTTGTGTGACATGGGTAAAGTAGGATCATACTTTTTCAACTCCGTCAATAAAAAATTGATGTATCCATTAGCTGGCTTGCACACCCTTGCATAGTCTATCAGGACCTTTGCAATAAATGATTGTTCGGATTTTTCCCCATCACTATCTTCATTAACATATTCACTGGCACAGCTGCTGTAATATTTTCGATCATAATTATCATTATCATCACTGCCATCATCATTATACTCATCATCATTATCATTATCATCATTATCATCAGCAAGAGCAAAGCGATACTTGTCAGCAACCATTTCCCGTTCATCTTCAACACTTTCACTCAGCTTTGATTTATCAATGAACAAATCATAATTTATATGATTAAAACAGTGTATTTCATCAGAATAATTATCCACGTCAATACCTTTTTCATATTGAATAAACAAATTCTGAATGTGTATTGCATCTCTCACATTGATGGTTTTCGGAATTTTTTTGTTCTTGTCGAGTTCTCCGGCTTTCCATTTTCTTATACATCGCATTTGAACTTTCTTACAGTACAAACGAGATTCGAACTTTTTATCGATAGTATACGTTTATTTATTACTTTAAAAGTACTTATTTGTATACAACGATAATTTAGAGTAATCAGAGCAGAAGCTATAACCTCTAAGTTAAAGATGGACCTTCAGGGCCGAGCATGGTCAGTATATGGTAACCGTACCTTCAGGTCACCTGAACCCACCCAGACACGCACCTGGTAACACCACCTACAAGGGCCATAGAAATTAGTGTCCGGTAGCGGGAGATGGCCATGAAGGAGCTTTAAGGTAAACGGAATCTATTTGTATTCGAGAATCCATGGAGCACTAGTATTAAGGCTGCGGGCATATGGAACCGCGTAAAGCGTATAGTGTGAGTGTGTTCCGTAAGCTCCAGCCGTAAGCTCAAGCAGTTAATGGAGCTATTCACATAGACATTTTTTGCTTATTTCATTGTGAACGTTCTTATTGAAAAGGGGGTTCCGTTGTTCCGCTAAGCTCAAAGTGAGTGAATAGACTGAACAGACCTATACCTCTTTTTCCATCAGGCAACAAAGCCTATGGTGTATAGTCGCAACTATGTTGACTCGTTGACTGACAGAAAACACAGTATAGGTCTGTTCAGTCTGTTCACTCACTTTGAGTTTAGCGGAACAGTGGAACCCCCTTTTCAATATAAACGTTCACAATGAAATAAGCAAAAAATTTCTATGTGAATAGCTCCAATCTTTAAGTATCTCGGTATCCTAGATGACATTTAAATGCAAAAGGAAAAGTATGACATTATCTCTCTCACACTAATAAATCATCTACACATTATCTAAGTACTTAGATCAAACGGCTAGTGCTTACGGAACGCACCCAATACGTATCGCATAAAAGTAAGGAAGATTAGGTATACGCCAGTTTGTGGTCACGAAAAAGCATAGAGGTATAAGAATAGAGGGGAAAAGCGCTATACTAGCCCATTAGCGGCAGCAACAGCAAAACTAAGTGTAACGGGGCATCTGTCCTTGTTGCCAAAGCCACGTTATAGGCTACTTCTTCGTCCTGAATCCTACAGTTGATTCAATCTCGTGTAGGACTCGACCAATAACATAACTGCCAGACAAAGACAGATGCCCCGTTACGTAGCGAATTCTGCTGTCGCATATCACGCCCCCTTTTTTCCTCTATTCTTATACCTCTATGCGAAAAAGCGTAAAACTCGCAGTTCTTAACACTGTACCTTCATGTCAAATAAAAAGTTTTCAAATATTTGTAACTGCCCACATACTCCTTTTTTTATTTTTATTTGAGAGCTGTAAATGCATTTTATACAGCTTAACAGCACTTCTCACTTTTTCTTTGCGATATTAGATCATTTACGTTATTTACGCTTTACGAGAAAAAATTCGTCATCGCACACTTGGGTACAAAAATTCCCGCATAACTTTATTTTTTCCATGAGTGCGAGCGAGACAGCATGTGTTACGCCAACGTAATACTAACTGTGATTGGTTTAAAAACACTTACGCGCCTATTTTTTAATCCCATGTGCACGATGACAAATTTTTTCGCGCACAGCGTATCTTACCTAACTTTCCCTGATCCTATGATTTTACGGGATACGCTTCACGCGGTTCTATGTGCCTGCACCCTTACTCACGTGTACTTTATATATATATACATATATATATATTACAATTCGCGCACGCCCGATCAGAAATTTAATGGGTTTGCCACCTTAGTTACTGGGGTCCCCCTTAGCTTAGGCTGCCTAGTTGGTACCCCATTAGGCGCGTCACGGGGCGAACTGAGGGTTCATCGTAGGCTGCCCCAATAACCTAGCAAAAACTGTTGAAAACATTATATATTTCTGTGTTTGGGTTAAACATATGTGACCGTAATTTAATTCTTCCTTATCTGCATGGCCGATAAACTCCATAATCTGCATAGCGCGCATGGTAAATCAGGCACATGCTCTTATGATAATTGTATTAAATGTAATGATGTACCTACACAAAAAATACAAAGGGTTAGGTAAACTTTCTTTCCTATTGGGGCACACTAGAGAGGACCACATCTACGCCCCGTGACGATGCCATTCTAGGACTACATGTGGGTTATTTGGCAGCCTAGTGTGGACCCCATTAGCACCCCACTAAGGTTTCTGATCGAGACGTACACTTACATACAATATAGATATACTACATGTTGAGTATCCCACCACCTCATGTGATGGCGAGCGCCCCTAGCAACAGAATAGTCCCCATAGACCAAGAGCTAAGGTCTAAGAGTGATTAAAAATTTAAACCAGCCGCAATAGTTACCACAATCGAGAAGTTTTAAGTTTCTTAAATGTTTACAATATTTTTGTCATTTTATTATAGTAAAGAGTTATGTGTTAATTGAAGTAGTGCGATGTAAATAATTGCGGTAAGATTAGAAGTTGTCTTCTATCTGAAAATCGATCTTTAAGAAAATGGACCCCTTCCCCACATAAAAGCAAAGTCATCTGCAAAATTTGTCATTTGATTTTTTGTAATAATTTGTTACAAGGCGGCAATTTTCGGATTTAATAAAAGGAAAAAAATGACCACTTATCTAACGCTAATCTTATCAATAATACTCATCTAAGATTATAGATAATGCTTTTATAAGATTAGCATTAGATAAGCGGTGTAAAAATATTATTTCCCCTTTATTAAATCTAAAAATTGCCACAACTCTATGCAAGGTTCAAATTATTATAAAAAACTAACTGACAAATTGGCGGTTAGTTTTGCTTTTGTATGTGGAACAAGAGTCGATTTTTGGGTAGAAAATAAATTCTAATCTTACGGCAATGTTACTTCTCAATGATAACTTTTCATTTTTCTATCCGTTGCTCTAGATTGTAAAATCGACCATATGTCACTACTTCAATTAACACATAACTCTTTACTAGAATAAAATATGACAAAAATATTGTGGATATATACCTAAAAAGCATGAGGTTTCTCAATTGTGGTGACTGGTGCGGCTGGTTCAGATTTTTAATCACCCTCGGGCCTCAGCTCTTGGTCTACTAACTACTAGACCTCTACTCCACGTATTCGCGTATGTGCATTTTGTGCAAGTAAAAGTATCGTAAAGCTGCTTCTGTGTTTAGATTTTTGTTTTAAAAATGTCTTGTTTGCTCATTCGGCAGTTCTTTTAACAATTTTTCCCTAAGTGTAAGTTTCTCAAAAGTGAAGTCTGCATGTAACTGATCAATGGGCCGACGTCAGCAGCCCGACACTCCTGTCAATAAAAATATTTGACAGATTACTCGTCACTACTGCAAGGATTAAGCATTGTATTCGAGGTTATTATCAAGAAGCTCTCGATCGTAATTAGTAATCAGTACGTTAAAAAATTTGCACAATATATTAGTATTTCTTGGCTATAGATTCATGTAACCACGTAAGTTGGTATTCTTAAGTGATTCTTGTCCTGTATGATTTACTGCAGACAATCTACTATTACAGTTAACACTGATGATTCACGTAACTTAACACCAAAGTATCCTGCAACATCTTTATGGTTGTTCGGTGGACTTCATAAAGCGTTAAGAAATTGATTAAAATTTTTTTGTCGAAATTACAACATGTGACTCAATCCTGTTAGTAATAAGTTAGAAAAGATTATTTAAAATATATGGACTCGAATGGGAGTTTTAACTCGTCAATATATATAGCTTCATAAATCAATAGTACTAACGAAATTAAATGTTACGTGTGATAATAAACTATAAACAAAGTTTTATTGAATTTGTGTAACTATATATTTTGAAGTAAGTATTGTCTCGAAGAGAGAAAAAAAATAGACTACTGAGAGCTCAGCCCGAAGTGTGTATAAAGAAATACCTGCCGCAACTCTTACGAAAGTTTGAAACGTTGTGATTTGTAGACATTCAAAGTATTTTCGTGATTTTTTCTCTTGATCACTAGTTATATTGCAATACAAAAAGTGCAATTTGGTCAATCCACAACCTAATCCAATAGAAAATCTAAAAAGTTGGCACAATAATTTAAGAATATACATACATACATATACATAGACAATATAGATAGAAAAAATATTTATTCATGTGATTCAGGTTAATTGATTTTCTTTTGGCTCAAATTCTCAATACAATACTATTATCACTATTTAAACTTTGATTACAGTTTTTACTTTATTAAGAAATACATAAAGTTCTTTTATCTGTAGATTTATTAGACTGTTTTGTAAAAGAATAAATTATTTGAAAATAGAATATTTAGTTGTCTATTTATGTAAATGGTAGATGACTGGAAATTTTTGGTTAATCATAACTTAGTGCATAGGATCTGAAATTTAAGACGTTAGCGGTTAAGTTAAAACAAACTTTGAAATTTGATGACATTCAATTACATGTTGTGAAAATTAAATAAAAGTTTTAATTGATTTCAACTGAACTAATTACTTGTTTCTATTTTTAATTGTATTTAAGCGGAAAATTTTCCAGTTTTATAGTATGACAAGTATGGGCAATAAATAAATCGACTTTAGTATCTGTTACAGTAGTTGCTTAAATTGTAAAAACTAACTCATTCATAGTAATTTATTGATTATATAAATAGTTCAGAATCCTTTATGGTGATAACTACATTGCCATAAGATATTAGATTTTCATACGTAGAACATGATTACATAGAGCAATGATCGAGTAATACATAAGAAGCTTCTTAAGGCTTGAACAGGTTAGCACTTTTGAAGTGCTTTGAAATATAAATAAATGATACAATAAAAAAGTTTGATTTTCGAAAATGACTTTTTGATATTGAAGTTGTGAGTTTTATAATTTCATAGTTTTTTTTTTTTTCTTATTTGTGAAAGCATTTTGCAACTACGAAAGATGAAGTCAAAGAATAACTAAACGCCTGAGGGAATAGTTTTTTTCAGAATTAATTTATCAATATCTGTGCGAGTATCAGTAAGTTCGGCATTACTATAGTGCGTAAGAAGAATATTCCATAGCTGATGTACGAATTTTTTGTTTGGATCTTGTTATGATAGTGTTCCCAAGAATATCCGGACATAATTTGTTGAATAAAATTATCGATGAATATTCATTAAAACTAGGTTGTTTCTATAAAAATCTATGTATAAATTTTAATCTTAAACAACTGAAAGATAAAACACTTATTACAAGTTAAAAAAAAAAGAGAATGCTTGTTTTTTGTATTACAATTTTTTAAAATTCCAGTTGACATTAATATTACAGAAATACAGTTCAGGAGAAAAGTAAAAAAAAAAAAATATTTCTTAAAATTACTATTAACGTTTATTTACTAAAATTATTATAAATCGCTATTGAAATATATGTAAGTAAAAACTATAAAACAGTACTATAATAACAGTTAAGATTATCTATAAATTTCGGTTTAAAGCCATTATTTTCAACTTATTGTTTGTTTTTTTTTTTTTTTTATA